CTCACACACACACACACACACACACACACACACAACACTGATTGCAAAACCTGTCGAACATCAAGTGTCTGCACATGTGGAAATGTCTGTAGTTTCTCTATTCAGTTGCTCTATTTTCCTATAGTTGTACTAGTTCTGTGCTTCTGTTAATTATTATTGTTTTACAGGTCCAGTTTTTCCTTATTTTTAAAGAATCTCCTAGCTATTCTTGACTCTTTGACCTCTATAAATCCCTTGGGATGTTTATTATATTAAGTTCCACATAAAAATCTGTTACACTGATCAGAATTACACCTGTAGGTCAATTTGAGGGAAAATGACATTTCTACAATATTGACTCTCCTATTGACTGAATGGGCATCGCTCTGTATTTATTTAGATTTTTATTTTTTCATTGAATTTATTGGGATGACACCGGTTAACAATTATATAGGTTTCAGGTGTAAAATTCTATAATACATCATCTGTATATTATATTGTGTGTCCCCCACCCCAAGTCAAGTCCCCTTCCATCACCATCTTACTCCTTTTACCCTCTTCTACCTTACCCCATCCCCCTGCCCCTCTGGTAATCACTATATTATTGTTTATCTATGAGGGGTTTTGTTTTTTGCTTAATCCTTTCGCCTTTTTCACCCAGCCCCGAAACTTCCCTCCCCTCTGACAGTTGTCAGTCTGTTCTCTATGAGTCTGTTTCTATTTTGTTATTTTATTAAATTCCACATATGAGTAAAATCATATGGTACTTGTCTTTCTCTGCTTTCACTGCCTCATTTCACTTAGCATAATGCTCTCCAGGTCCATCTATGCTGTCACAAAGGGTAAGATTTCTTTCTTCTTAACGGCTGAGTAGTATTCCATTGTGTAGATTTTCAATGTCCTTCAATGAAGTTTCATAGTTTTCTCTTATAACATTTTGTCTTTGCTATGTGTATATATACATATGTATGTGTGTGTGTGTATATATATATCTGGTAATCTTACTTTTTGATGTGACTGTAAAAAGTATCGCCTAAAGTTTCATTTTTTAACTATCTGATTTAGTAGAATATGTAATTGATTTTTTATATCGATGGTAAATCAGCAAACTAAATTCTAGTTAGTTATATTAAGTTTATGGATTCCTTTGGATTTTATATCGATTTAATCACATCTGCAAATAGTGCAAGTTTTGTTCTTTCCTTTCAAATACTTAGCCTTCTAATTTTATTTTACCTACCACATTGGCTAGGACCTCAGCGCAGTGTTGAATAGAAATAGTGATAGAAGCATTACTGCCTTATTCCTGCCGTAGAAAGAAAGGTTTCATTGCTTTGTTCTTGAGTGTGATGGTTTTTTGCAGATGCCCTTTATAAGATTAAGGAAGTTCCTACTATCCTCGTTTGCTAAGAGTTTTTATCATGAGTGGATATTTAACTTTATCAGGAACTTTTCCAGCATCTATTGAGATAAGGTTTGCTCATTTTATCTGTCAATGCAGAACAACACATTGGTTTTTGTAATCGCACTATTTGCAAAAGACAAATCCTAGACTTGTATGTATAACTGTCTACGTAACCTGTCCTCTTAGATATTTAATACACATTTCAATCTTAGCATGTCCAGAACTGAGCACCTGATTGCACCCTTGAGACCTGTTTTATCCACTCCTCCCTGTTGTGGTCGACTGTAATTCCAGTCTTTAATTTGTTTGGGCTAGACACCTCGGTGTCACTCCTGGCTGCTCTTTCTCCTCACATCGATCTTTGAGGAAGTCCTGGTGGCTTCACCTTCTAAATACTGCCAGCTCTTCACTGGATCTTCCGCTACCTGATCCAAGCCTTGCAGCAGGCTCCTATGTGGTCTCCCACTTCTTCCTTCTCCCCCTTTATTCTAAACATGGTAGCCTGAGAGATCCTATTCAAATGAAGCCAGATTTTTCTTTCTCTGCTTAGAACCTTCCTGTGGTTCCCATTTCACTCTGCCTAACAGCCAATCTTGTGGAATTTCTACAAGGCCCTATGCGCTATCTCCCGTCTTCTCTGGCTTCACCCAGGTATCCCCTCACCCACTCTGTCTGGCCATGCTAGCTCCTCACTGTTCTTTCACCTTTGTGTGGATCACTCTCCCCTAGACCAGTGGTTCTCTAAGTGTGGGCCTAGATCAGCAACAGCAGCCTCACTTGGGAACTTTTGTTAGAAACAAAAATTCTTGGGCCTTGCCCAGATCTACTGAACCATCAACTCTGAGCATGAGGTCAGAGTCTGCGTTTTAACAGGCCTTCCAAATGATGCTTGCTGAAGTTTGAGAACCACTGCCCTGGATACCCACGCTAATTCTCTCACCTCCTTCAGGTGTCTGCTCAGAGGCTACCTTCTCAATGAGGCCCACGTGGACCCTCTTTAAAAGTATCAGTACTACACCAATGTCACTTGGTGTTCCTTCTTCTCTCATTTTCCTAACAGACTCTAAACTCTATATTTAAAAGCCTAAGTGACCGTTTGACCAATAGCTATGACATGCACTGATCACCAGTGGGCAGATGTTCAGTGCACAGGCATGGAAACATGGAACAGACTGATGAATCTCAGAGGGAAGGGGGAAGAGGGAGGATGGGAGGAGATTAACCAAAGATCTTATATGCATACTAGAGGCCCGGTGCATGGATTCGTGTACTGGTGGGGTCCTTCAGCCTGGCCTGCAGGGATCAGGTTGAAACCAGCAGTCTAACATCTCCTGAGGGGTCCTGGATTGTGATAGGGTGCAGGCCAGACCAAAGGACCCCACTGGTGCACAAATTTGCTGCCTGCAGCTCCTACCTGCCACTCCCGCTCACCCCGGCCCAATGTGCCTGCCACGCCCAATCAGTCCCAATCGGGAGAGGCTGGCGCTGCAGCATCAGCGCTCGCCAGCCATGAGCCCTGCATCTGGTGCCCTCCCAAGTGGAGTGGCCTGCAGGGTTGTGCTGAAACCGGCTCTCCAACATCCCCGAAGGGTCCCGGATTGTGAGAGGATGCAGGCCAGGCTGAGGGACCCCATAGGTGCACGATCGGGCCGGGCAGGGACCACAGGAGGACTCCAGGGCGTGTCCACCCATCTCGCTCAGTCCTGACTGGCCGGACCCCAGCAGCAAGCTAACCTACCAGTTGGAGCATCTGCCCCCCTGGTGGTCAGTGCACGTCATAGCGAGCGGTTGAGCAGCCTTAGCATATCATTAGCATATTACACTTTGATTGGTTCAGTTCTGCCGTTCAGTCTATTTGCCTATTATCCTTTTATTATATAGGATATTCATTCCATAATTTATGACATATATATTCATTCCATAATTTACTATTTTTATACTGGTATACTCTAACATACTTCTAATATGCTCTAGCATTTGTATTTTTAAGTTATGGCTGCTTTTTTGTTTTGTTTTTGTTTATCCTCTCCAGTTTCTCTGGTAGAAGGTAAGTACTTCATAGGCAGAAATTGTTGGGGTTTTTTAGCACCTAGAGGAATTCACTCAGTAAGTCGGTTGATATTAAATAAAAGATGAACTTAGAGCAAAGTCATCTCTATGTTTTGTAATTCCCAGTTGAGAGATAAAGTTGTGCTCTGGTCTGGCCTTTAATCTTTGGCAAAAGCTGTCAGCTCTCAGAGGCCTGGGAGTTATCCTGGGGCTACAGATTTTGAACCTGTCCACAAAGAATCAAACCTCTATTTGAAGCAGACAAGGAAAGAGTGATGGGACTGAATTTCAGAGGGCCAGGTGTGTACTGCTAGCCACTGACTGCTAGTAAATTGGGGGAGTGGTATTAGAACTAAGTATTTTTATAGCCACTTCCTTGTAGTTCAGCTCTCCCAGAACTTTGGTTGGAATGGAAAGTTCTTAAAGCTTTAACCATGACATAAGTGGATTGCTTCTCCTAAGCTCTGGCTGCACACCAAATCTGTGTGTACAGCATTTAAAGAGAGACACTGGGCCCTACCCAGCACGCTGCTATAGCAGGTGTGGTGTGATGCTGACGTGGAGTAAGACTTCCTGGGATAGAGGGCTGAAAGCTTGGCCTGTAGGGAGTGAATCCTAGGGACTCTAACAGCTTTGGTTATTTGTGACAGAACTTCATAAACCTCCCACTCTTAGTTTTGACAAACCTCCAAATCTGAGTTTTTATTTATCTTGTATATGTTGCAAAAAACAAACAGTAGAGATGAATTTTATGGTATGTAAATTATATCGCAATAAAGGTCTTAATATAAAAAAAGGAACCAAAATATATTCAGGATTAAGTCCCCCCTCCCCCCCTTCATACACAGCTTCAAAATATGAGCCTGCAGGGCTTAAGGATGGCAGCAGGCCGAATCAGCCAGAATTCAGAGTATTGATGTCTATCTTAATCTTTCAGAGCACAGAAGATTTTATGAACATCTGCATTGAACCCGACAGTGTCAGCAAAGGAGACTTCATCACTATAGGGTAAGTGGATTGCGATTTCATAACTGTAGATAGGTGGACTGGTTTGGAGGCAATGAGGCTGAAGTCGTTTGTCTTGTATCGTGTTCAGGTTGCCCATGAAGTCTACGATAGAGACCCAGCACAGGATTTGTTTGGGAGTCACAGCATTCTTTGTTTCATTGGGTGGATATGTCTAGTGCTCCTTTCTCTCTGGCCTTCCCTGTTCATTTTGGAAAGATCGGAGGATGGGAACAGTCTTTGCCTTTCAGTTGAAATGAAAGAACTCAGTGTAGCATGGCACACAGTGTCTGGAATTTCAGCTTTTGGGTTGGAACTGCTGGATTCGGCCACTTTCTGGCCTCATGTTTTGGACAAATCCTTACCTCTCTGAATCCTTTTCCCTGTGTGTGGACTGGAGTAATAGAATCACCTCTATCTCAAGAGTGTTTCTGAGGCTCAGATGAATGTGGGAAAGCCTTTCTCATTGTGACAGACTTCACAGTATTACTGCAGTTTGTCAGTCCACTTGTCCGATTTTCAGGGTGCGAATGAAAAACCTGAAAAGGTATCGAGAACTTGGACATGTTCCAGGTTTCCCCTTTTCCACCACAAAATACCCTTCCAAGCCCTGTCTGATTTGTTAAGCCCTAGTGCTGCCGGGGTTTTATTAAGAATGCTCTCGGCCCTCCCCCATCTTCACAGCCTCTGCGCAGCGCCTGTTACCATGCCCACTGGTAATCTGCTCAGCGGTGTTTTCTGTGCTTTGGCTCAGAGCTCCCTCTCGTGCCCATTGAAGGGTTAGGCATTTCCCTGCAGCAGCTGGGTCTCCATGGCTATCTCATTATCTGCACTGGTAGTGGCAGCACAGTGTTTTGCCTTTGCTACAAATTATTCAGGTGCTGAACAGCTGCTTCTACAGCCTTGGTTTACTTGCTGTATCTGTAGCAAAAGGAAGAAGGAAAACCATTTCCTTCCTCTGTAGAGTGTGCAGAAGCCACACAGTGACTTAAGAGTCTGACCAGTGGGGCCAGCTATATTCAAATCTCCTTTAGTACTGACCTCCAAAAGCAGAAAGAAAAACCGATCATTTTGCTTAAGTGAAGTCATTATGCTCCTCATTACTGCTAGCATCAGCAGCAATAGCACGGTCTCCTTTTGGTCTCTACTGGAGGTGAAATCGGGTAATGTCTGTCTCCTCTAGGTATCTGAATAGGACATTGTGGAGTTGCTCTAGCAAACTGATTACTGTTGTCAGTTAATGAAAAAGAATGGACTAATTTGCTTGGATCAGGTTTTGTTCTTTTTCTACTTCCCATGACTAGCTGTGAAGGAGGGACTGTGTGTGGACAGTTATTTGGATAGTGGACTCCAACGCCATTTAGCATGTATCATGCTAAGTAGGCAGTTCATATGGAGACTCAGCAGAGAGCTTAGTGTAAAATGGATGGTTCATATACGGTGTGTGTGTGTGTGTGTGTGTAT